GCCCCCCAAGGAGCCCCACACCCCACTCCCTGCAGCACACTGTGCCATGGGGTGAGCACTGACCCCCTGCAGAGAGCGCCCCCCAAGAAGCCCCGCACCCCATCCCCTGCAGCAGTTTGGGTGCTGCTCAGACCCACCCCTGATGTGATCACAGCCCTAGGCAGAACCGGCTACAGCCTGTCATTGTCAATCAGACCCAACTCCACAGAGCTGGACAAGGGAGCGTGCCCCAGGCCCAGCCACTCCCCCCCCTCACCTGCTCCGCGATGGGCAGGAAGGGCGTGTCCGAGCCTTGGCGGCGATGGTGCTGGAACATCTTGGAGGTGATGACCGGGGAGGTGCGCGGGCTGTCGAGGCCGGGGTCGGACAGAACGGAGTTCCGGTTCAGAGAGATCTGCTCAGGACAACCACCACCTCACGACATTAGCAACCGAGACGGGGGCCGCAGGGAAACCCCCAGGGACGAAAGCAGCGCCAGACCCTGTTTTGACTCACATGCTTCCCAGGTCCAAGGGACCAGCGGCCACACCAAAGACCCAGGCCAACATCTAAACCGACTCAACAGCGTGTCCAAATGCGGGGCAGGGAGGGCACCAAATTAACAAATCAATTTCTAAACCAGTTTGCATTAGATCAGTGCGCACACCTGGCTCCCGCTCCCAGGCTCAACTTCCTCCCCCATGTAGGGTGACCAGATGTCCCGATTTTATAGGGACAGTCCCGATTTTTGGGTCTTTTTCTTATATAGGCTCCTATTACTCCCCAGCCCCTGTCCCGATTTTTCACACTTGCTGTCTGGTCACCCTACCCCCACGCTGCCCCGGACGCCTCTGCTCTTCTCAGTAGTAACCTGCAGACACCTCCCCACCCACGTCTGGCTGGTCTTATTGACACTGCAAACTCCTGGGGCCAGGGATCGAAGTGCCATGACAATCTGTGACTCTATAAGTCCCAGACCAAAAAGACTAAGGGGGAAATTTCCGACTTAGGACAAGATTCTTAAAGGTGTTTCGGCACCTATGGGGATTTTCAAAAGCGTCTGAGCCCCCAACATCCACTGACACTCCCGCTAGGCACCTAAATACCTTTAAAACTCTGGCCTTTGGACATTCTGGAAAGCGTTACCCTCTGTTAGGATGGAGGTGAAGGCTGAGAGGATGGATCAATAATTGAACAGGAAGAGACTTCACAGGGATGTTGCAATGATCCTAAACCCCGAGTCTTAGAAACCCCAGGACCTTCAGAGTGACGGCTGCACTTACAAGACATCCAACGGCGCCCAAGCAACCTTCACTCTGCCTGCAGGGCCCCCCCTCCTGCAAGAACTCCAGGATCCTGATTTGGGGACTGTAGGGTCTGGGATTCCCAGATTCGATTAGACTGATTTTAAATGATGTCTGATTTTTCCAACCCGCCATACTCAGCGAGTGCCAGACATTTGGGGGGCAGAAGCTTTCTACGTGCAAAATGGACCTGGCCCTTAGCCCTGGAGCCGCGAGCCCTCACCTCGCTCACCGAAGGGAACCGCTCAGTGCCCGAATCCAAACCGCTGTCGCCATCCTGAGAGTCCAGAGAGAGGCGGCCTGGGAACAGAGGAGAGACGCAGATGGAGGTCAAATTAAACCCTACCGGAGGAACCATGGCAAAGGAGACACCGAGCGATGGGAGAGGGGGCAGGACAGGGCTCAGCAGCCCTCAGTAAGCACCCTCTGTCTAGACTGTGGATCCACCGCCCCACGTTCCCTTTGCCGTCTCCTCTCCTCTGATGACAGGAGGGGCGGATCTGTGGACTGGCCGAGACCCCACAAGAGAATCAGACTGAGAATGTTTAAGGAGGGTTCGTGCAACCCCAATTCGGCCTCTGACGAGGGAAGAGGAGCTCTGGTCTTTACCGGGGACGACGGCTCGTTAGAATCCCAGGCAAGGGGCAGAGGCAAAGGAAACCAGAAAGCCACAGGCAAACACAACTAGTCCTACAGGCTTCGAGACCGGAGCTCTGCTGGGCACAAGATGGGAAAGCAACCCTGGGCGGCGAAGGAGGAGAGAGCGGGAGCCACACGGGATGTGTCGAGCGTGAAAAGGCAGAGAGCAGCGGACTAGAGCGAGGCAGGAGATGGTTTTCCCATCCCACAAAAATTTGCCATAAAAAAAAAAAAAAAAAAGAAAGTCCCCTTCCAAATGGGGCCAAAAAGTTGAAATCTCTAACATTTCCGCAAAACAAAAATAAAATAAAATTCAGCTCGGGTCAGTCAACACCTTTTCTTTCAATACTTCTGAGCCGTCTCATTTCGATTTCAACCTTTTTAAAAAATTCTTTTACGACAAATGAACTGAAATTTCAAAACAAAACGTCGTTTCGAAGTGGAAAATGGAACCTTTCGTTTTGAATCCCCCCACCAGCCCCCGCCAAAAACAGGAAATTGGTTGAAACCAACCCTTTCCCACAAACTGTTACGGTTTCAACAAATCCACATTGTCCGGTGAAAATATGTTTTGTCGAAAACTTCCCGTCCAGCTCTACAACGGACACTGGGGTGGAGGAGAACAGAGATATGTGCAGCGTTTATCTACGCCGAGCCAGGTGGCCGTCACAGGGGTGCTGGCTGCAAACACTCATGTCTTTTTACGACATATCCCATATAGCAATGCCGTTGGGCAGAACTGAAGTGACCCTGCACCGGTGCATTCTGGGAGACCTGGAGTCCCTATCCTATAGCACGCAGAGTGTGACTGTTGGGAACAAAGACTTCTGGGTAATTTCCCAATGCGAGGAACTCCTGAATGGGGAGAGCTAGAATGCTCGTAGCTTCCCATCTGCACTGGAGAGACACTATCACAGCCGATAAGGATCAACCCAGCCTCGAACTGAAGCCCTCATCGCACCCGGTCCGAGCAAAGCTTGTCGAATGCCTGGGATGGCAACAGCGTCCGGAGACAAGGAGCTGCACAGGCACCGCAAGCCGAAGCCGCCCAGACCAATCATCTGTTGCGAGGGCGGGCGGACGGACGGTAGCAACGGGTATGCGTAGCTGCCTGGGAACGACAGCACGACTCACCTTCCGTCCCCCGGAGACTGGCTGAGCCGGAATTGCAGCACGGCCGCCCCAAATCCTGCAACTGAAGGAGACACAGGGGTCAGTGTTGTTATCCCTGCTTTACAGGTGGGGAAACTGAGGCACGGAAAGAGCCTGATCTAGAAAGGGGGAGGACCAGCTTCCTTCCATTTCAAGAGGGGCTCTCGGCACCTCCGCGGATATGAAGCTGTCACACAGAGTCTGTGGAAGAGCTGGGAAGGGAACCCCAGAATAGGTTGCACAGGGGGGAGGGATGTTCAACCAGTTCATGTACAAACAATGCCGCGCGTCCTCACTAGCCCGGCTGAACTGGTTTCAAGCCTTCACCTAACCCATTTCAGCCTCAATGCCCTCTGGGTACCTATCCCCACAGTTCACGGCTCAGCCCCCAGAGGCAGTGCATTCTGGGAGATTTCACACTGCGCGAAGGCACGCCTCAGCTTGTCCATCTCCACAACGGGACTAAACCCAGTTCAGGCTTCCCCTGGCACCAACTTCTAAGGAGGGTGGAGTGTCCGGGGGCGGGGGAGGAGTCACACGACAATTAGAACCAGGAAGTAAGGACTCCTCTTGTGTACCACTGAGCTGCCTGTTTCCTGTTGGATCTTGAGCTGCAGCTGGCTGACCCTTCTGCGCGCCCCCTCGATCCGTTCCTCCAGCGTGGTGGCGGGGTTCCGGCTGTACACCTCGCAGAACCGCTGAGCGGGGAGACAAGAAGGGGAACGAGGTTACAGCCAGCCACGCAGGGAGGGGAACAGGCACGGGGTGCAGAGCGCGGCGTGGGGGCTACAAAAAAAAAAAAGACATAAAGCAGGTGAGGGATGGATGGCTCTGATCAATACCCCGGTGCAGCTTCGATGGGACCGCACCTGCTGCTGCAGGGCATCAGCTGGTGGCCAGGGGGAGGAGGAAGGAAATACACCTCTCTTCCCCCAAACATTGTACAACTGGCCTCACGCTCAGGAGAGGGTTCCTCTTCCTTGGAAACGCCAGTCATGTCACGGACGGAGGCAGGAGCCTGGAATACATGGAGCGGAGGTCTGATCCGCAGGGCAGGAAGGATGAGATTAGGTGGTTGTCTTCTCTGCTACAGGCAAGATATCAGAGGAGATGGCCCACTGGTCTGATCCAACATGTCAGGAGGAAAGATTGGACTAGGAGGAGCAATAGTCCGCTCCATTATAAGCAAAGCTGCCTAGCGGCGAGCTAGACAGGGCAGAGGTCTGCTCCAGCGTGGCTCACCACAGGGAGGAGACAGGCGGCGCAGCGTACCTGTAACTCGGCCTCCTCCTGTCTCAGCATGTTGCGGAGGATCTGAGTCGCGTGCTTTTGAACTTCTGGGTCCTGCGATTCGGAACAGACGTGGGCAGAGTGAGGGGACGGACAGAGCTTTGCTTTCACCTCCCCATCTTTCACCCCCACCCCTCAAAGTGGAGCAGCGCAGGAGAGTGACGACCCCCGCTTTCCCATCCCCCTGGGAGATCCAGGACGAACCACCCGTGGGAGCGCCGCGCCGCCCGGTTACCTGCAACGGTTTGGGTCCTGTGATGCGCTGCGGTGGAGGCAACGGAGGCGGGGGAGGCGGCGGGGGGCACAGGGGTGCAATCCCGGGCGCCCCCGATACGCTCACGTCTTGCTGAGGGCCGGAGAGCACCACTGAGGGAGGAGGAGACCCCAGGAGGGTCAGCGCGACGTAGGCGCCGGCTGGAGAAGAAAAGGAGCGCAGGTGGAGAGAGACCCACTTTATAACTAGCCAGTTGATGAGGATTTAAAACCGGGGAATCACGGCAGCTAGAAGAGAACTGATCACTGCCTCCCCCACCCCAACCCCAAATCCACGACGCAGGATTCCGAAACAGATGGAGCTGCAACCGAAGCTGATCTTAAGGGTACGTCTACCCTGAAAGTGCAACAATTGCACTGCTGCAGCGCTTCAGTGTAGACACTCACGACAGCGAGGAGAGGGGCTCTCCCCTCGGCATAGGGAATCCCCCTCTCCCAGAGGCGGTAGCGAGGGGGCCGGAAGAATTCTTCCATCAACCTACTGCTGTCCACACCGGGGGTTAGGTCGACGTAGCTACGTCTCTCGGGGGCTGGATTTTTCACACCTCTGAGAGACAGCTATGCCGATGTAGGTTTTCAGTGTAGACCAGCTAACCGGAGCATTCGGGTTTAATTCAGTTCACAGACGCTAGCCCACTGCCCCTTCTACAGAGCAGGAGTACAGTACACCCCCAGTCTCAGGAGCCTTCGTAAAGCGTACCCAGGAGAGGCTGCATCAGCCAAGGCACATACTAATCCCTAGTTTTTATCTCGTGCTCTTCATCCATACACCTCAAAGAGCTGTACAAAGGAAGTCAATATCATCATCACCATTTGACAGATGGGGAAACTGAGGCACAGAGCGGGGAAGTGACTTGCCCAAGGCTGCCCGGCAGGCCAGTGGCAGAGTGGCGAATAGAACCCAGGTCTCCGTCCAGTGCTCTATTTGCTCGGCTACACTTGAGATCTCCAGCAGCCAGAGTACGGTCTCTACATTCGAGTGCATGTTATAGGCGTGTTCCCACCACGCACTGAAGGAGGACAGCCCCCGACCAGCAAGGCTGTGCGAAGACTCAGGGTCCTGGTCTGAGTCCTCACCAAGCCTGGATGTCCGGGGAGGATCAATGTCTAAAACACCTTCTTCCACCTCCTCCAGCTTGCTAGGAATCTCCTCCCACCCTCCCAGGCAAGGAGCTGGCCCCAGTGGCCCATGCATCCCTCACCTTCCCCCTGGCTTAAGCCACTGTGAAAACATCAGACCCAAGATCCAATCCCTCCACTGGCCCTCAGGCTGCTCCCGATGCCCGTTTAAGGTCTCGGTCCTAATCGTCGAAGCAACAACTGGGTCAAGCCCCAGCTACGTTCCAAGACTGAACTTCACTCTACGATCTGCGGCGACAACGGTGCTCCTCTGGGACGATGCACATCACAAAACGCAAGACGACGGGCATGAGAGCGAGGGTCAAAGCATTCCCGGGGGAGGAGACTTTGCTATGAAATGGGCGACCAGGGGAGATGGGGCGAATCCGGAGTCGGATCGCCTTTAGGAGACGCTGCAAAGCCTTCCTCTTCACCATAGCGAGGAGGACACCGCCATGCCCTCCCCCGTACCCACAAAACCTGAAACAAACAAACCAGCCAACCAAACCAAAAGCCCACCTAGGGTGACCAGATGTCCCGATTTTATAGGGACAGTCCCGATTTTTGGGTTTTCTTCTTATATAGGCTCCTATTACCCTCCGCCCCCGTCCCGATTTTTCACACTTGCTGTCTGGTCACCCTAAGTCCACCTCAGGCAGGGCGTTTACCTCCCCACAGGAGAAGAGCCAGACATCCCATGAAGTCCACTGGAGACTTCACTATTGGCTATTTGCCCAGCCGCTATGGTGACGGGCCGCAGCATAAACCCCTGACGCAGACCGATGGATAAATAGAGAGCATTGTAACGCAGGGTGGGAAGCGGAATGACCACATCGGCCAGGGAAGGGTTAAGCTGTTCTTGGAAGCCCCTTCAGGGAAGGGCTGGGAAGTGACGTTCTCCAAAACAGCTCCTCCTGTAACAACCAGAACGGGAAGCCGCAGAGATCTGGCTGTAGTGGCCGCTGCAGCTTGCAAATGACTCCCCTTCCCAGCGGTGTCAGTCAACAAAGCTCTCCAAGCAGGACATTTTACGTTAAGCACTTTTGAAACATGGGATTGCTGGTGTTTTCCACCCGGGAGACCGGACGCCCCCATTTACGCATGGGGCAGGCACAGCTGTGCACACCAGCGCGCCTCACCCCCATCCTGCAGGATCCCCTGCCTCTCGGGTGGAGAAGAGAGCTCAGTGTGCCGGGCTCATTTGGTCCCTGCCCTCGCTGCTCTGCTCTTAGCCTCAGGGCCCCAACCCTTTCCACAAGACGCCATTTCAAAACTCTCCGCCACTAGAGACCGAGGCGGGCCTCCAACCAGCGACCTGGCGGGGAAAGGCCCCATTCACCCCTTCTACCTACTCACATTTGATGAGCTTCACCACTTCGAGATGGGAGCTGTTTGTCACCATGGTGCCGTTGACCTGCAAGAGGAGACAGACAGCCTCAGGCATGCAGCCCCAGCGCTGGCCCACAGAGCTAAGCACAAGGGAACACCCTGGGGAAGCCTCGGCTCGGGGCTCGCCGCTCACCTTGACGATCCGGTCACCCTCTTGCACCCCGGCCTTCATGGCTGCACCTCCTGCAGTGCAACAGGCAGAAGAAGGGAGTTACCGTAAATAACAGCAGAGCCCCAGCAACATGAAAACATCCACCGCGCTCGCACAAGGCACCAGGGGATTTGACACCGGCCCCGGAACAGCATAAGGAGACGTTAGGGTCCAAAATCTAGGTTTTCCCTCCTCCTGTGTGGAGGTTCTTATATCGACCTCATCACTAATATCCAAGTGCGTTAAGCAATGGGACTACCATCTGCCACGTGGTGGTTCTCCTTTAGGGCTTCTGTCTAGGCAAGAGGGTCTGTCCACTCGGATCCAATTGCAGGATTGGGGCCTAAGCATCGGTAAAAGTAGCATTACTATTTAAGCTCTTCCCCTGCCAGTCTCCCCTTCTTTAATGCAACTGTTAAAAGTTTAAATATACTGAAAAATTCTCTGTTGCTAAAGCCAGGCCGAAGAGGAAACGTTTCCATGAGGTTCAATTCCAAACGGAGAGACTAGCAAATAAGAAAAAGGCCAAGAAGGAAAGTCAATTAAAGATTCTTTTCAGCTTTAATGATCTCTCATTACAGGCAACGCAAGTCAGAGCGGAGGGGCAGACGGGAGTCCCTGCAGCACTGCACCCAGGGTGGTCTTTTACCCCAGCACAAAGTGGGCGACTGCCAGGGACAGGGCACTAGAGAATCCGGCTCACTTTGCACTAGTATAAGTGACTGCACAAGGAGCGGGGCTGTGGGGAATCAGGCACATTGGCTGTTCTTTATTCAAATATTTGGGACTTGCCATTGGATTCATGCATATGGAATCTATGCCCGCCCAAAGTCCTGTTGAAGTCACTGGGGTCGATGCAGGGGTCTCCCCATGAAGATCCCATTGCAAAATAAGGGGTTTGATTTTTATCTGACTCTGTCCCTTTAAATCTGTAGGACTTTTCCTCCCTTATCTATCTGAATTTTTCCTGGCCTGAGTGTTAGCCTTATTTTGGCGGGGGGGAAGGAAGGCGTCAGTTTGTAATAAGAGCAGCTCGTTCTCTATTGAAATCGTTGCTTCAAGCCCTACTTCCCCTCGACACCATCAGACAGCACAAAGCTAGAGCGCTTCCGCAGCCCAGAGTGAAAGTTGCTGACTGTCTGACGAAGTGGGCATTCACCCACGAAAGCTTATGCTCCACTACTTCTGGTAGTCTTAAAGGTGCCACAGGACCCTCTGTTGCTTGTTGCTGACTGTGTGTTTGCTGAGGGCAGCTACAAGGGGAATTCCCTGCACCCCTAGTCAGCCACCAGCTGCGATTATGTAACAACCGGGTAGAGCACGGTGGTTAACCTGGCGCTGCCCGGAGAGCAGAGATGGCGCAACATGGGAACTTGGCTGTTGCTCTCGGGAGCCGATTTTGGGTTAATTCCCACCTCCGGGTGGCCAAGCTGATCAGAATCAAGACTCCTGTCTAGTCCCCCTACCGCCATCCCAACCATGCCCTCACACAGCTTAGCTCCTCTTCATCCTCCAGAATTGCCCTCTCTTGATCCAACAGGCTTTGCAAAGAGGGATCCCCCTTTTCCTCTCTCCCAACCCATCCTGGGGCCAGAGAGGGGCTGGGGGCCAAGTGAACTAGGGGAGTCCCATTCATACACCAACATCCATGGGCCCCCAAGAAGGGGGGACAGAGTAGCCGCTCACCTTGCCGGACAGACTGCACCAGGACGATCCGGTCCCCGCTGACAGTGAAGCCAAAGCCATCCTGATCCTTCTGGATGATGACACACCGTTGGACCAAACCTTCAGCAGGGCGGGGGGAAAAAACAAACGAGGCATGAGAAGCTGGAGTTTAAATCTATGCTCTAGGCTAGTTGGGGCTCCAATTTCCAGATGGCCCATGGCTACTGTTCGTTCCCTGAGGCCAGGGGAAGACTAAGGCCCAGGAAACAGAAGGCAAACGAACAACAAAAACCCCACGCCCCTGAAATTAATTCTTTGTTAACAAAATCCCATGACTTTTCATGTCAAGCTCATGATTTGGGCGGGGCTTGAGAAAAGATTTTTGAACGCGATGCTGGAGATCACCAGCAGAGATGTTCTTGCTGTGGAGAGAGCCCAGGAGAGGGGAGTAGGATAGATAATAAAGCAAAGCACGATGCACCAGGACGCCTGGGTTCTCGATGTCAGTGGCTCCATTCCCTTTTAAGGCTGCAGTGTCCCCGGAGAGGTTTGTTCAAATCCCATGCTCTGATACCAGCTGCCTTTCAGCCCCTAGATACCACGCAGGCTGCTGCTACATACGACACAGGGATAGATCGAAAAGATCCATTAGGTCCTGTCTAGGCTATCTCTGGCTCCTTTCCCCCGCCTGGAAAGCCAGCGATGCGATTACGCTCATTGTCGCGGGTAGGAATGCAGATGTTGTTAGTGACCATCGAGTGACCCAGCTTCTGTTGTTCACCGCAGCGCATGTAACGCTGACATCATTCTTGAGTGGCTGAGGTCTGGTTCAGAAAAAGAAACAGGGCCTGATCCTCCTTTCCATCGTGTCTTCGCCTGTGCAATGCGAGCGTACAAAAGACTCCGGATTCTGCACTCACATTACACCAGGGACTGTGACACTCACTTTGCACAGGTGTAAGTGACCACATGAGGTCGGGGCAGGAGAAAAATCAGGCCCGATTTTGCACAAATGCAACTAATGACACAAAGGTGAGGGGCGGGGAAGTAAGAAATTGGACCCGATTTTGCACAAGTGACAGAGACGCCACAAAGTAAGGGGCACGTGAGTGTGTGTTGTGCACGCGCGTGGGCGTGCGTGTAAATAAAATCAGTTCCTAGCAGCTGTACTCACACTGCTCTTTGGGCAGAGGAAGGAAGTAACTTACAAACGTGCAGTCTCAAAGTGGCAAACCAACCAACACGGAGGCAGGATCGGGCCCTATTTACCTAATCTCATATGGCAGATAAGTACTGTTGCCGCTGAGCCCACAAACAGGAATTTCTGTCTGCCATATTCACCATCCCCCCACGGTCAGAGCCGTGAGACCCCCAATTCTCATTCTCACTCTAAGGCCCCTTTTACAGTGCTGTGGCAGTGTAAAGGAAACTTAAAGTGTGCGTAACTCATCTGCACTCACTTTTAGGTCCCTTATACTGCCAGCATGGTGTACAGGGACCTTAGGGTAACAGACTCAGACAACAGGTCTCCCACGAAGAGAATGGTCAGTGCGTCTGGCTACACCCTCTTTTGGTTCCTGTATTAAACGATCTGCTGTTCCCACATTCTCCCCCCTTTACCACACTCCTTCTTGTTCCCTTCAATTAATCCAGCCTTTTGGAGCCTCACTCATCAATGGTAGATTATTATATCCCCTCCCCCGAACTGCCATAGGATCCGAACGCCTCCTGAGCTTTTAGCCACCAAGTACCCCCTTAGAGAGGAACGCATCAGAGCCATTTTATAGATCAGGGAAACTGAGGCACCTTGAGTGACTCGCCTGGAGTCGCACAGAAAGAGAATGTCGATTGAAAAGTCTCAAATCCCAGTCCAGTGCGTTAGCCACCAAGTAATCCTTCCTCTAGGCCAGTGGCTCTCAACCTTTCCAGACGACTGTCCCCCTTTCAAGAGTCTGATTTGTCTTGCGTACCCCCAGGTTTCACCTCACTTAAAAACGACTTGCTTACAAAATCAGACCTAAAAATACAGCAGTGTGACAGCTCACTGTTCGTGAACAATTGCTGACTTTCTCCTTTTTACCATCTAATTATAAAATACATCCATTGGAATATAAATATTGTGCTTACATTTCAGCACATAGCACACAGAGCAGTCTAAACAAGTCATTGTCTGTATGAAATTTTAGTTTGCACTGATTTCGCTTGGGCTTTTTATGTAGCCTGTTGGAAAACTAGGCAAATATCTAGATGAGTTGATGGACCCCCTGGAAGAGCTCTGCATACCCCCAGGGGTACGTGTACCCCTGGTTGAGAACCACTGCTCTAGGCAGACAGCCATTCCCTTTCCAAGATCAGCAACTGGCGTTGGCGCCAGACAGTCCTGCATCACCTCGTGCCTTTGTGTTGGCCGATTCTTGCAGACAGTGCGTGCTCTGCAGCCCATTCTGCAGTTATACCCCGGCCCTGGGGCTAATCTAGGATCACGGCCTGCAAGCTTTGTTCCAGCGCTGCAGAAGCATTTCAGGGCAAGGGCCTGGCCCCGTGTCACCGCTGCTCTCGTACGCACGGCTCTGTTCTAAAGATTTTCTCCTCCCCTTTTTAGGGTACAGGGACCAACCTGATGCAGCAGGAGTGAGGGCTAGACTGCAACTCACAGTGCAGGAGGGGGACTGCCCCTCCAGTGGGAACTGGGGTGGCACATGCCAAAACAGGGAGGGCGCTGCAACACCCTTTCCACATCCACACCTACAAGGCCACTCTTCTCTCTTCACTGCTTGGGCAACTGGAATCGTAACCAGAACCATCGTTGTCATCCCCGCTAGCTCTAACCTAGCACTTTTCATCCGCAGATCTCCAAGTGCTTCACAAGGGAGGGGAATGTCATTGTCCCCATTTTACTGATGGGGAAACCGAGGCACGGGGAGGGCAGCAATTGGCAGGCAATCAGTGGCAGAGATAATAATAGATTCCTGGGGTCCCAACTCTCAGTTCCCAATTCTACCCTAGACGAAAGGTGTAAGTAGCCCCATATGAAGGGGTAATTATCACAGGCCTGGAAAACATCATTTTATCCCCCATGACTCCCCCCATCACGGTAAAGGGCAGGTGAGCCGTTCAAACCCACAAAGACTAGAACAGCTGATGGCTCATGAGGATGCCCCTACCCCACAATGTCATTCCCAGCCTGCCCTTCCCCAACTCCAGAGCTTACTCGGGATCGAACGTTTCTTTCTAGAAAATGACGCCCTCTGGCTCAATCAGCCGTTACGGGTCCAGTCCAGGAATCACCAGGTGAAACTGTCTGGCCTGGGTGCTGCAAGAGGCCCGACTAGACGTTCCTTCTGGCCCTATAATCTCCGAGTCTGATAACAGGAGCTTCACGCTGCGCAGAGACACACGTGCCAAAGCCTCCGGCCACCTGCATCATGACCTTCCGGACAGCTTCACCTGCGTGCCTGACGCTCCCGTGGTCAGGGCGCTCACCCGGGACGTGGGCAACCTGGGTTCTGTTCCCTGCTCTGCTGCCGCGACCTTGGGCAAGTGACTTCCCGTCTGTGGGCCTCAGAATTCCTCATGCACCCAGTGGGCAGACAAGCCCTGCCCCACCTCCCGGGGGGATCAAGACTGTCACAACTGGGAGGTGCCGAGAGATAACGGCGATGGGGGGGCAGAGATGTAGGCACGGCAGCCAGATGGTACAGCCCCGAGTCTGCTGTCATAGCAACACAGAGCGGGGAGGAGAGAAGTAAAGGCTACCTGTCGTTTCAGTGCAGTCAGACGGCTGGCGGCGGTGCCCTGGAGACCTGCGTCCTGTAGCCGAATCGCCCAGTGAAGACAGGCTGCTTAACCTGAAGGGAATGAGACGGAAACAGTCATGGAGGAACAAGACTCATCCTTCCACTTACAAGATGCCTCCTTCTAAGGACGCAGCAAGCCCCAGCGGTAGCTCTCACGGCGAGCGATCGCTGTCTGTTTCCCCCAGGGCGCTGGGCCAGAATTGGAGCTGAAGGACCCTTCTCCCCACCGCCAAAAGCGGCCTCGAGCAGAGACAGCCAGAGTCCCAGGGAGGGCGCTACGCCATGTAACCCACGTGTCTGTTAACCCCGGAGGGATGGGAAGCGTTTGGTTTCCACAGAACATGACGAACAACAGAGAGATGCGCTCATGCAAACCACACGCACTGCACAGGAGGTCAGCGTCAGAGCTTACCAGGCTGCAATGGGGCTGATGGAAGAAGAGAACATGAAGCAGCGAGGAATGAATGAGAGACAATGGATAGTTACTTTCTTTTTTTATTTTTGGTGCTCTTGCTATTCCCGGCCGTTCTGTGATGGGGGCGGGGGCTGGATTGAGAGCCCTGCAGACCAAGGCGGGAAGAGGTACAACAGCACTGGCTTTGCAAGTTTCCCAGAACTCTCCTACTCCCACTCCACGGCCCGCTCGGTCCTGGCCAGCTCTCTCTGCCTAATGCCTATTGCTGGGGTGGGTCGGCATGCTGTGGGCACACCTACCCAGCTGGAACTGGACGGAGTCCCAACAAACTCTTCCCGCAAGCCGCCGGGCGACCTGCAGCCGTGACCCATGGCGAAGGGGAGAGTTCACTCGAGTTATCTACCCTGGTGCTGACGCCTCTCTACCTAGCCCAGCTTGAGGGAGAGCAGCCACTCGGGAAAACAGGCAGCAGCGCTATCTCGAGTGTAACCTGTCCCAGCCAATGTGAGTTCATAGCACCACGGTACTCGAGTGAGGGCAGGATTCGAGATTGGGGCAACACCTGAATTAACTGCAGTGAAGACAAGACCTTAGTACCCTACTGCCCCCAGCCTGGGGCCAGACTGGAGCCAGGATCCTAGAAGGGAAAGGCCCCATATCCCACCTCTCAAGTCAGCCAGTTCCCCCAGATCTGGTGCCAAATTGGAACCAGGACCCTATAGGGGAAAGGCCCCATATCTGATTCCCCAATCTTCTAGAGCCAGCCACTCCCTCCAACCTGGTGGCATACTGGAGACAGCACCCTACAGAACCCTATGGGGGAAGGCCCCATATTCCATTCCCCAATATCCCCGGGCCAGCCAGTTCTCCCGATCTGATGCCACATTAGTACCAGGACCCTAGAGGTGAAAGACCCCATTTTCCCTTCCCTGGTCCCCCTTGAGCCAGCCAGGTTGGGGGGGTTGTTGGTTTTTTTGTGGACAACATAAAATGGCAGAAGAAAGGCCAGGAGGACATTTACATGAGAGCTGATTGACACCAAATCTACCTTCACTTTGAACACAGGGGCTTTGACAAAGCGAGTGCACCACAAAAGAATGGGATTCTGTCAGCCCGCCCCCAGCCCCATCTTACCTGGGCAGGCGAGAGTGCTTTTTACTGGCTGGCCTGTTGCCCAGGAGGGAAGACAGAAATTGACACCAAAGACAAGGACGGTGGTAAAGATGGCGCATGGTCCAGAGGACAGCATTGGGAGGGGAAGAGGAGACAAATAGATAAAAGAGACAGATGTGTAATGGATGACACAGCTGTAAACACACTCAACACTCAGGAGAGGGGACGGACAGACAGCGAGAGGCAGATGCGCTGCTAGCCCTAGGCTTCAGAGTCAGAGCTGCAGCTTCAAAGCGCTTTCTACCCACCAGCCAGAGTCTGCCGACCCGGGCCGGGAGGGGCTGCAACATACCCTCAGGGACCCAACAGGGCTCCTTTGAGGAGCGGAAGGGGAGCTCCCCCTCTGTAGCCAATTCAGCTCTTGACCTCTGCGTTCAGGCGGACAGTGGCAAGGGGATGCCAACAGGCGTCCACTAGGGACTAAGTCCCACCAAAATCGTTTCCCGCAGGGCATTCAACAGCCAGATGGGTCCAGCTGCCTTCAGATCCTCACACAGGCCCCGATCCCGCAAACACTCACGCAAGTGCTTACATTTTATGCATTAGAGTCGCTTGCAGAAAGTGAAGTAAGTGCTTGTGTCTTTGCAGGGCTGGAGCCAAATTCCCTCTGACCCCTTCCCCACGCATCTGTGCGCTGACCACCTTCCCAGCAGCTGATCCTTCCTTCCCAGGCCCCAAGAGCGACGCCCCTTCCCTTCTCCCACCCCTTGCCCAACGCATCTAGTCCGCTCCAGGGCAGGACCGTTTAAAAAGGAGCAAGACTGTTGTGGCGGACGCAGGCAGCGACAGCTCCAGCAAAGGGCGCTGAGTGGTCTCCGTTACGACCCTCGCTTTCAGGCTGGAGTTTTCCAGCCTCGGGGTCTGGCTCAGAGTGCACAGAACCAGAAAGTCTGCACCAGATTCCTTCGACTGCTTTGTGCACGGAGGAGGAGGAAATGCAGGCTGTCCTCACTGGGACAGAATACCTTCGCCTTTGGGCGCGATACGCGACTGGACTGTCTGAGAAAACATGTGTGACCCTGGAACCGGACACTGCATCGGGAGCACACACCCGCAGGGAGGCGAGGGGACAGGTAGCGGGGTGATGGTGCAGGAGAGGACACCATGGGTCTCATGAGCACACACCCGCAGGGAGGCGAGGGGACAGGTTCCACAAGTGCCCGCCTGCACGGCGGGGGTAGGGGGCAAACGACAGGTTCAGTCTGAACTTGGGCGGTTTCCCCAAGCGCTTACGCACACAGCCCCAGCCTTGATCCCGCTGCCAAGCGCCGAGAGGGGCGCTGCCCTCCAGCGCGAGCAAGAGCAGAGACGCAAGCTGCAGCACTAAGTGGATCCCTCCTCTCCGAGTGGCGCTGAGCCACCTGCGCGCCTGCTCCCTTGGGGGCCTGATCCAAAGCCCACGGAGAGGATCCCACCGACGTCAGTCTGCTCTGGACCAGAAAGACAGGGGACGGGAGGGCTGCGTCATGGCGTTTCTACTGGGTCAGCACCTGAAGGGCGACAGCAGGTGGCACGGCGCTAGGTGCTGTACGGACATACAATGAGCACCAAAGAGCTTACAGTCTAAAACCCTGCAAACGCAAGGGCCTAACCCTGCCAATCCAGCTGCCCGCCTGCCGCTTAGCAGGGGTACCGGAACGGCTGCAGCGCTCCCATCAGGACACGCCCTGAGTTTCCCCCCGTGCTCCCCACTAACGGTTTTAGATGCTTTTGAGACTCTCCTCCCTAAGCTCCTAAATCCTTTGGGTGCACTTCTGAAAATCCGCACCACCTCCGTGCGTTGCCCGGCACACTCACGGGCGCACCCCCACCCACACGCACGCCCTCCACGAGGCAGGATCGAGCCCGTTCTCCCGCACGCAGACCTTTCTTGAAAAAGCAACACCACCACCGCCATCAACAAACGCACATGAGTCAGACAGCAACCATCTCACTGAGGCAGACAGCAAATTCCTTCCTTCCTCGTCGGGCTAAATCCACACTTAAAAATGAAAGCCAGAAAAGCGGGGAGAGCTGGGGAAGAACTAGTGAAACTCGGTAGGTCTGGACGCTGCTGCGGAGTTCTCAACTCCTCCCTAGGAAAAACACCTCCTAGGTAAAGCCAACAGGACCTGATGCTCTGCTCAGTGGCCGAGAGGTCAGGGCGGGGCGTGAAGATGCCTGTAAGCCACCTTTGCTCTCCCTGGATTCTGGAACCATGCAGGGGTCTGCCTGGCTCGTGTTGTGAAAAGCAGCCGCAGAGCCACGCAAACTTGCTCTTTGCTTCTAATACAGTCCCTGGGAAGCTGAGAAGAGCGGTAGTGCAGCGCGCTCTGGCCACAGCCCCAATCGGCCCCCCAGGGACTAGGCACAGGTCCAGAGCAGAGCGCTTATGCCAGCTCCACACAAACTGTGCAGGGGCCCTGCACGTGGGGGACTCTCAGGGAGCCAGTTCTGCCCACTTGAAAGCCCCTGTACGTTGCTAGGACAGCCTACAGGGACCACAGCGTAACCGAAAGTCAGGCCCACCAGATCTCTATTTTAATACACGCATTTGACTCCTGGGCTCTGTACTCTGCAAGTCCAAAGCAAGGACTGGCATTAGCTCTTTGGGATGTGTGCACATATACACGAAAACAAGAAGCCATTGCCAAGTTTTGCGCCGGATTGGTGGAGTAAATCCCCAGGATCCGTCCCCCTGCAGCCTGCTCGCACCACACCTCAAGTCGACACGACTGTTAAAACTCCATTTCCAATTTGGCAAGGTCTTGCACATTTTTTTTTGGCCCAGACAAAACACAAAGGCCCAACCTTTAAACTTTTGCTCATGATCGGCAGCAGATGGAATCCGGCTGCCGTCCGCAGACCGTGCTAACTGCATGCAGAAGGCACCAAGTATGCACGGGAAAAACTATTTCTGCTTCGGCAGCAGTTGTAGGGCAGTAAAACGTTCCATTGGGGGAAAAAGGGAGGAGAACTACAGAGAGGTTCATACCGGGAAGAGGAGGAGAATGTGACCTACTGCTATGGAGTAGGTGGGAAGAAGCGTCCTCTGCTTACAGATGAAGGGACGGAGACCAATCTACGGTATTTCCATGGTGCCTGTTCCCACGGTGTGTAACGCTGGGGTAAATCTAAACTGCACGTGCTTGTACCTCCCAAATGTGAAGTTACACCTGGCATCGCCTCAGAGGAGTCAGGGCAGTGATAAGAAAGCAAAGCCACCCGGCCACATTCCTGCATGAGAGGATGGCACATTCCCAGGAATGTCAAGGTGAAGGGCCCACTGATCAAAGCCCAAGTACAGAGAAACACTGGGGGGGGGGGGGGGGTTGCCTGGGCTGGTCAGAGGTGCTGGTCTGACAGCTTCCAAGCACTGTCGTCTGTGCATCTATAACGCATGGACACCACAAGCAGCGGTACACACACAGGCCTGGTCTAGGCTAGAGAAGTTACTAAACAAGAGGCCCTAACCACTGACCTAAGAGACCTGGGTTCTAGCCCCAGCTCTGCCACTGACCTGCTGCGTGACCTTGGGCAAGTCACTTCCTCTCTCCGTGTCTCAGTTTCCCCTCCCACCCTTTGTCCGTCTCATCGGTTGAGACTGTAAATTCATCGGTGCAGGGGCTAGGTACATACAATGCACAGCTGGGTTCGATAGGCTCTACTGTAATAAAGCTGTTTGATCTACTGGTGCAAACCCCTAATGCAGATGAACTTGAGTCAGTTTAACCCTGGCTTAAAAAAAAAAAATCAGTTCAGCTTGCATCAGTTAAACCATCGCAACTCATGTAGTGTAGACAAAGCCACGCCACCCTGCTCTGGAGAAGGAGTCCCAGCCTTGCCCACTCCGTACTAGGTCTCTCTGCCAACCAAGGAGCCCAGTTAGTGCCTTGCCAGCTGTGATGCAGACACTGGAGTGAGATTCACCCAATGAAACAACCACCTGAGGAGAATGACTTTTCTTCATTTCAATGTATTCAACTAGTTCAGTTCAATGCCTACAGGTGGATAAAAATGGATAAAAAATGGATTTTAAAACAGATTTTTTAAAATTTAAATTGCATTTTTCATGTTATTTAAATTGTAAGAAGATTTTTCTTTTTAAAAATAAACCTGTTTAAAATAAAATCTGAATGTCATATAAAATATGTTAAGGCCTTAACTTTTCAGAAACTCTTAAAGCATTTAAGTAAAAATATAAATATGCTGGATCCCTGAATCTCTATCCAAAAACTTTAATTTAAAGGCTGCTTTTCTATATAAAAAAGAATTAGGGGGCTAACATCTAACTTTTGAGGTCAAGCTTTATGGCACAATGCATCAAATACTGTACTAAGGGCTTGATTGGTATAATACAAATAAATGTTATATGCTGTTCTGTGTGTATAATTAAATTCAGGTTACCATCCTAATGCAGGCTTGACACAAACCATGAACAAAACATTAATTATCTAGTGAATAAGCAATAAGGCATTCACCATTTTCTAAGATACTAAAAATATACTTTAATAAAATTAAATTAATAAGAACCTAAACCATTACGCCATATAATTGCTTTAATAAATGCATAGTTATAATGTGCCCCCTTAGGTAGCAAAAAGACGTACCAAATCTAGTGGAAACGCTCTATTTCGTCGTAAATCAACATGTTTTAATGGTTATATCAACCAGTGAGAATGCACCTTTCTTTAGAAAATAACTGAAGTACAAAATGCAAAAGTTGATTTAAACCAAATTAAACCAATCAATTATTTAAACCAAGGCTTTCCACTTGGTGATTTAAATCAACCCACCCTGAATGACTAGTTCATTCAAATCAGAAATGCGTCATTCACCATTTTCAATATAAGAAAAAATGTACATTTAAGAATCTGAATAAATGTAAGCTAAGCTATATACTTGCTTAAGTAAGTAGGTCTAGATAGAGCATGAAAAGCTGCGTAAGACCCATGTATTATGAAATTGTGTACATCAACTAGCGAGGCTCTTTCAGTGGCCCATGCCACTGTAGT